GGTTACTCAACGCTCATTAACTGCCGAATAGAAAACCCTTAACTTCAGGTACATGGTTTTTTTTTTTCGTTCTAAATCATAACATTAGCCTAGATCTGGGGCAGAGGTTAAGAGCAAGGTTGTTGGAAAGCTTCATTTTAAGCTATTTACTCCAAATCATCTGATTAAACTCCCAAAACTGTCTCACTTTTGCTGCTGAAGTACTACCGCAGCCTGAAATTAAAAGCCTGAAATCACGGTGTTTTGAGATTTCGACATTAGTTTTAACTATTCGTCCCCTAACCTCCATTATGTCTTAGGACTGAATCCCAAACATTTTGAGCATTTAGCATGCTCAGCCCGAAATTATTAAATAACCAAACCTCGCAGTGAAGTCACAGATCAAGTTATGGCGAAAGCTAAATTTAGAATTATTTGACTTCTGCGGACGGCAAAAAGATTCCCAGTAATCAGTTGCTTCGCTAGTTCTTAAGTTACAAAAATAACAGGCACTTGAACTTGAGATCATTAGAAATTAAAGAATAGACAGTCCCATACATGTACGCGATCGGATGTGACACACTTGCAAACTTTGGGATTGCATTATCATTGGACCACCGGGTCTGAGAATCAGTTAACTTGGAAGAAATACATGCGCAGACAAGTTACCTGCATAATGCGTCTTTTTTTCGAACAAATCATGCAAAAACAGGTAGCCCAGAAGTCAGAAACATAGTTTTCAAAAAAAAAGCACAAATGTGTGTCATGATGAAGGAGAACAGAATGTTCGGAAGCAGTGTCGTAGCCGAGCAAGAAAAAGCTATGAACTTGGTTCTCTTTACTGAAACAGCAGTATCCAGTATTTTTTGTTATACCTCCTCCGTGAGTTTATATGCAATTTCTCACTATAAGTGTGCTTATTAGCAAATGGAAGAACGATCGACATGAGGCTGTTCCAAAAAAAATCGTTTGAAATTCCAATCTCCCCACACAAAAGATAGTTTTGCAAAACTGCTTCTCTTAAGAATTTGTCCAGGCTATGACACTGTTTGGAAACAAATCACCGGTTTCATTTTTACGTGATACCCGTACGTCAACGGATAGTACAGTTCCTAAAAATATCAAACCTGAAAGGATTTCGGACTCTAGTAACGATAAGCATTAAGCACACGGGCTTTGAAAAATATCGAATCCAGGAAGAGCTGCATACATTTGGTGTGCTGGCCACTCTTGCTTCGAATATTACAGTATCTTAAAGACAGAATAATTGCTCTTTCAAGTTTCATAGCTCACAGAAAATTTCGTATTTACTCAGTAAAATTGTAAAAGGTGTAATCGCAGCATGATGGTCATTCCAAGCAGTGAAGAGGGAAGAAGTCCGAGTGACCGGAAGAGAAGGGTGTTACAAAATTAATTAAAAATCTTCCAAACCTACTTTTAACCTTACATATACACATACATACATAAATACAAACATACACCACTGTCGGATGAGCTTTGCAGACTGCTCATTTCGTTAACTGAATATCACAGCATCCGGAAACGCAGTGCACGCGCGCTCAGACGAACTGCGTGGAAGCCGGAAGCAGCGGCATAGGAGGCGGTAAAGTTGGCTCATGCCAACTGTCCTCGTCCATGTGCTTGTTGCCACTTCTGCTATTACTTCGCTCCTCCGAACACATCGCTTTTTCCACATCAAATACGGTCAACTTGCCACTGCGATGCAAGAATCGCATCCAGAGAGACTCGGTCAGCCGGGCACAAATGATGTTGCCACCGTGTGAAGCAATCATCTGGAAAATTTCACCGGCTATCACTGTATTTATTACCAAAACATTTCATGTTGTTCGACTTTGCTGTTGACCCATGTATGACCTACAGCAATAAATGGTACAGTAAAGGGAACAAACGGTCACTCGTCTCTTCTCTTACAACGGTCACATCGGTCACTGCTACGCACAGTAGAGACCGATGCGATCGTTGCAAGGAAGCAGATTCGACCGTATTCGGTCAAAACCATAGGTTATCACAATATGCGTTTTTCCGTATATGCAGACACAATTAAAAGTAATAAAACATACATGTAAAATGAACACTCCATCCGGTCGCAAGAAGTGATGCACAAACCGATGCGTCTGATTGGATTCACACTCCAGAAATTTGGTCACAAAAGCATGCCGCCATTCAGCTAAAGACAATGACAGTGTCCAGACAATGAGGTTTACTGCGGTACCAAATGAGAGGAGCAGAAGCCAGAGCCAGAGGAAAACGAATATTTTTTCGGTGAACATATTGACGACAAGAACGCATTGGACCGTGTGCCGATGTACGTTACCCAGTACCCGGATTTCGAAATCACATAGTGTCACACGTGGAAATCGACCGGAATCACGCCACTCTCGACCCTAAAAAGCACCCTCCTAACTCTTCCGTTCATTATTTGTTTGGCATTTTTGCGTTAAATTTAGCTGAAATTTCACAACTCCGTCAGTCACCTACTAGCAGCTGCAGCAGTCTTTCAAGTATCTAGCTTGCTTCAGCAGCCACAGTACTACTCATAAATCAACTGCCAAAAAAAAGTACTGCAATAGCCATAAAATTTGAATACAAAAAGATCCATGATAACGAGTAACAGTTACAGTAAACATTCAGCTAACAGTTGTTACAGTACACACAGGCTGTACTCACATCCAATAGGTATAGTTTATTACACTAGAACTGAAAGAACGGACACAGAACGCTAGGGAGTAGCACTGTTGTCGTGCAGAAAGTCGAATGTTCGGTAACGCAACAGTGGGACAACTAACCCCTCTATGATACTTCATTCATTTCGATAAAAAATCGGTATAGTCATATGTCAGGGAACCAAATCAGTTTACTTTTAAGCAGTCTTCAAAAGAGGAAGCCACTGACAGCTTTGCCAACGTGTAGTTTCTGTGGGCACTTGCTACCATCTGGGGGTACTTCCTGAGTACTTCCGCTTCTCACAGGCGACAAAAACGAAGAGGGGTTTAAACTTTTGATGTTGAAAACCGAGAAAGAGAGAAAGCACTTCCCGCAGGGTAACTCACGCCTTTAATGGATAATTTTTGGCACGATTCTGACACCTTAGTCGCTGACTACAAATATTTAACAAACGTATTGCAGCGTAGCCGCTAAAACTGAAGTCGTATAACAGTCGTTAGCTAGATTACTATAGTTTCTGCGCTTCAAAAACTAGGTGGCTCATAGCGACCGACTCACAACAATAGTGTTTTACGTGTTGCAATACTGTCATGGCGAAATAATAAAAAAACCAATGAAAGAAGATTTGTGGTACCAGGAGGAGATCATAAAGGACGTGGCCGCCGAAGAACGGGTAGTCCGATGTTTCCAGAAAATTGTTCAACATAATGAACTGTAAAACTACATTGCATAGGTGTAAACTTTTCACGAACAGATAGATAATTGATACATATGCTCCGTAGATTTTGCCCAACTTCAGCACAGCAAATAGATACACCTGAAAATTGCTCTCAGAAGTCTTGTCTGTCCGTTCATCTCATCCGTCCTCTTTGCAAGGATCAGATTTTTAGGGACATATGGGGGGGTGCTGAATGCTTCTGGATCTGCCATCTTGCACTTCTAAGCCGTCAATCTCCTGTTGATCCGGGCACCATAATCTGCCGCTTAGGATATTTGATCGCACTCTTTCAATTTTAGATGAAAACCTGCATAATTTGATCCAGACACAAATGTTCCTGATATTCTGCTACTGGTAACAACGCAAGCTTTTGGTAAAAAGCATTTAAAATTCCTCGTTGCTTTGACTTCAAGAAGTCCTTTTCCTTTTTTCAAAAACAACCTCCCTTTCGGGAGAGAGACCGCCAAGGAACGCAAATGCGTGAAAAGTTAATTGAATCCAGGGAAATAATCTAAATCTCGGTTGCGAAATGGATTTTCCACTGAAGCAGTCAGTCATCGGCTACTTACAGATGTGCGAGCGAGATAAATCAAAACTAATTAATTCGAAAGCGTTGATTTATCACAAACAATCCACGAACCAACGGCCAGCCGTTCAAGGAATCCGCAGAGTGCCAAAACAACGTCTAGCAAAGTGCACTTTAGCTAGGGAGACAACGAAATATCATCTGCTTCAACGAAAGATGCACACTAGATCTAGTTTATTCTATTAAAAAAAAATTTGTAGTGTCCTAACAATCCAGAATTTCGAACGGACTGGCATAGCTCGCTCGACGTCTGGGAAAGAAAAACATTGAAAATTGCTTTGGATGGAATTTGGAGTGGATTTTTAGTTTGTCCATGTATTAGTACAGTGTAAAATCAAATAAACGACGAACACTTTTATTTCGGCTTCCGTAATCTCGCTGATATTTGAGTGCATCATCAATATGCCTAGTGAGTACTTCCACAGAATGGTCCCGTATTAATGGATCAACATTTTGGTCCTGGCTTGCTAGCTGTATCATAAGTGACATATTTAGTCCTGAAACTGCTCTGTTAATTCCATCAATTGTTTATTCAGAATTAAGCTTTTCCACTTGGCCAAGAACACTTTCTCCCTTTCCGAGTTCATTCGCAATCTTTGCTTTTTAATGAATATACATATATGTCATCAAAAAAAAAACAAGAATTGTATTGACATATATAATACACATATGATTTCGGTAATTCCCGATCCAGGCACTTTTTAGTAGGGCGAAGCTGCGTCCGCTATATGTAGCATTCCAGTAACGCCACTATCATGGGTTCCTCACATCGACTCTGTGAGCCGCCTTAGAAAGCTGATCTGAGGAGCCTATGTTAGTGTTGTTACTCGGATTAAAGTTAGTATTCAGTTTTCCGGTAGATAAGTGGCAGTTCCATAAGCTGGCCTCCTTACGCTGAATCTAAGTTTGGTTCTTCTGTACAAAGCTTAATTTAAAAGTGTTCTACCAGCTTTGGTTCATCTACGTAGATTTAGCGAAAAGCATTTTTCTAGTTTTCATTCTACAGTTAAAACCAAATTATCATCGCATTTTGGTGTTTTTTTTTCTTTTTTGCGTTCGCAACTTGCACTGCAGCCAATTCCATGTAAAACTTTGTCGATAAGTCTCACACTTTTTTTTTTCAGAATTCATTTTCATTCCCGAAGCCGAATTTTTACTGCTACTGCGTCGCTTTAGCAATATTCAAATGTTTCATTTATAAACAAATACAGTAAAATGTATCGGAACAAGCGAAAATCAGGATTCCCAGCAGTAGGCTGACCAGCGGACGATGCAGCACTGGTCAAAGCAGCTGAAAAAGCTACTAGCTGTATAGGTTGTTAACTGTAGATGAGCAAAAGCGAAGTATATGCTGGATCGAGCCAAAAAAGAAACGAAATCGGAATGAGCTAGGCAAAAGCAGTAAAACTGCAAACAAAGTGAGGTAAGAGAACAAGGACAGGAGAACGGAAATCTGGTAATTTTCGGGACAACCAGTGATAATCACCTGACTGTGTGTTGAGCATTCGCCAAACGGTTGCAGGCATATGAAACATGATAGCAGCAATAGCTAATGCAAATGGCACCCACTGATAATAGCCAATTTGTCGGCGCTCCCGATCATCCAGGCGATGCGGTATCAGATCCTTCAATGCACTTCTTCACAGCAACATTTTCACACAACTACTTGCTCAGCGCAACCCAATAGATGCTTCCAGAAACACTCATCCATGCAACTGGTGCTTCCAAATGAAGCAAAAGCAGTACACCCAGTGCTCGTCGCACAGCTTTTTCCGCCAAATTCGACTAAATTAAAAGAGTCTACCAGCAATTACGCTAAAGCCGAGAAACTCGCTTGTCTTCGCTCTCGGTACTCGGAAGCAGCTTTAGTGATAGCAACACGCGTCAACAGCAACCAGTTGCTGGTAACGAGCAAAGCTAACGATGGCTCCCTCACGTGTACAGTACCAATCTGCCATCCAAACGCATGAGTTTGCCACAGAAAGATCAGCTGTTTTACGGACAGAATCAAACCTTTGACCTCAGGCAGCACAACTTGCCACTCTCCCATGCCTACCAGTTGAAACTTAGGGTAATAATATAGTGACTTGGACTGATAAAGCGTTTCAACAGAACGAGGAGTTCTATTCCATCGACAGGAGCTCGAAAGTTAGGACGAAGTACAAGGTTGCATAAGTGTGGGTTGCAAATCGGACTAGTTTAGCTTGGAAACTGCTGAAATACACAGAACATGATAAACAGATCTGAGGAGCACTAAACAGATTGAAAATATGACAAAAAATTGGATCAAAATGTCGATCCAGTTGATGAGGGATTAGACCTCTTCCACTTCAAAACTCCTGGATAAGCTGTTGTTGTTTTGAAAGGTAAAATTTGGAACAGGGAGAGATATACGAGTGGATTCGTGACTCCGACGGATAATGGATATCACTGACAGGAAAGCACCCATTGCACTCCCCCTTTGTTCGGGGCAACAGCTTTTAAAGAAGGATGGATACAACAAAGTGCTGTGGATGATGGATGCTAGACGTCTAGTAGTAATGTAGCAGCCGCGGCAGAAAAAATTCTTGAAGATACTTCAGTAGCATCCGAAAAAACTACTGCTATACGACTGGTACGTAAAACAACGCTAGTGCGTTAGCTAACTGAACGTAAGCGGAGTCGCCAAAGCAGAAAATTTTGTCTTGCGAAGCCATTAGAGTTTCTAGTAAATCAGACGTTCTAGACAAGCGGAAAGAGGCACAGCAAAGGACCGAACTCATCGGGCAACTTGAAAAGATGGTAAACCAACTTTGCGTTGTGTGGCAAGACGACAGGAAAACGTTGAAAGTTGTGGTCAGTTTCATTGCTTGTGGTCATTTTTATTTGCCATATATTATCATACTTTACGGGTTGGATCCCAAAAAACCCTCGATCTAGTCTAAAATTATGCTCTGGCTACAGCAGATACACGGATGATGTTTAGAAGCTTTATGCTGAGCTCGATAAATCCTCACCGATGTATTTGCATAAATGCTCGTGACGGTCGATTTAAAAGCAAAATTTGGACGAAAACGAGAGGATGAAGAGCAATGGATTGTAAGGTATTACTCTGGCAAGGAAGCGTCGACAGAAGGAAGGAGGGAGGAAAGGGGACGTAACTTCCGGTTCAGCTGCAAAAGAAAATTGGATTAACTTTGTGAAGTAGATTTAGAATAGCAGAAATCCAAACTTGTGTTTCCCATTGGGTTATTTGAAGTCCTGGTTTTAAGCATCGCTTGAGTTACCACGAATACGGAGCAGATGTCCTGTCTACCCCGTCCGTCATGGAACACATGCCCTGGTCGATAACCTGGATCAGCTGAAGCTACGTCGGTCACTCCTGGCTGGCACTGATTTATTTAAAGCTGCAAAAAAAACCCCCCGCTTTGTTTCAGTTTTACTGCCGGTGCTTCTGCTGCTTTTCTGCTCAATCAGCAATAAATCACCAGTGAAAAGGTATTGTCTAACAACGCTGTTCTGTTGAAATTCATGTTGAAAAGTTTTCTCGCCAAATGCTTCAAAAGCGAAATGTTTTTAAAAAATTTCCAGACAGCGCTCGCCTTGCTTCGTGTTGGTTTTTTTGCACTTTTGCGTCTAGCAAAAAATTTTTTACACAAATTTACCATCATGAATTTCGGGTGGCTTACCTGAAATGGTATCCAGTAGGTGTTCTGCACCCAGCAGTAGTTCTCCGTGTACTGCTCCATGGCTTTCGTGAATTGCGCCGGCACAAAGCATTCAATTGGATGCCCTACTAAAGACGTTCGATACTGTTCAGAATTATAAGCTCTCCAAAAAAAAATTAGAAGCATAAATACTAAGATTGAAGATCGCCCAGGGCACTCAGTGTGTCTGGGCCATATTAGTGATGCTGCTGAGATGCTTGTCAGAGGCCAAGCGCAGCTAAGTCAGATCCTTCGGTTCTGGGCTGAATACCCTCAGTTGGTACTTAGCGTCTGTTCGAAATAAGTGCGTTACCTCTTTCTGCTCGAAAGCAGCAAAAATAAACTACTTAAACGTCGCATATGAGGGAAAAATGTTTGTTTGTTTATTCGGATTTACGAGGCTTGAAGGTTCTACTTTGGCAGAGAAGTTGTGGGAGAGGCTGGAAGCACTAGAAACATCATCGAGATTTTAATACTTTACCGGCCTGTTGCTTTTTATGCGTTTTTTGCAGCTATGCAATGCAGAAAATGGATATTGACGAGAGGTTGTCTGTGTGTGCGTGTCTGTGTGTCTGTGCGTCTGTGTGTCTGTGTGTTCGTCTGTACCAATTTTTCATCTCGAGGCCGGCAAAAGCTACAGAGCTGAAACTTTGGGGACATAATCTACATACACGTACGGGCCCCAATCCCCAAAATTGGCGCCAAAACCCGCGTGGTACCCGCATACGGGCCCGCTAAAGTTTTTTTGGGGTCAGTTCATAACTCGAGGATCTGAGAAGCTAGGAGGATGAAATCTTGAGGTAATGTTCCCCGCCCAAGCGGGTACTGGTGGGCTCAAACCCAGCCCCCCGGTAGGCATGGTACCCCAGTACGAGCCCGCCAAAATTTTTTTCGGGTAAGTTCATAACTCGGGGATCTGAGGAGCTAGAAGGCTGAAATCTTGGGGTAATGTTCTCCGCTCAAGCGGCTATTAGCGGGCTCAAACCCAGCCCCCGGGTAAGCGTGGCACCCGCATACGGGCCCCCCAAAATTTTTCCCGCGCAGATTCACAACTCGGGGTTCTGAGATGCTAGAAAGCTGAAAATTTAGGGGAATGTTCCCCGTCCAAGCAGGTGCTAATGAGCTCAAATCCAGCCCCCGGATATGCGTGGTACCCGCGTACGGGCCCCCCAAAATTTTTCGAGCGCAAAC